TATGGTGACTCAACCACTTCCCTGGGCAGCATGTCCCAATGCCTGACAACCCTTTCAGTAAAGAAATTTTTCCTACTATCCAATCTAAACCTCCCCTGGTGCAACTTGAGGCCATTTCCTCTCGTCCTATCTCCAGCCACCTGACAGAAGAGACCAGCACCCACCTCACTACAACTCCCCTTCAGATAGTTGTAGAGAGCGATAAGGTCTCCCCTCAGCCTCCTTTTTCTCCACACTAAACAACCCCAGTTCCCTCAGCTGCTCCTCATAAGACTTGTGCTCCAGGCCCCTCACCAACTTGGTTGCCCTTCTCTGGACACGCTCCAGCACCTCAATGTCTTTCCTGTAGTGAGGGGCCCAAAACTGAACACAGCATTCAAGGTGCAGCCTCACCAGTGCCGAGTACAGGGGAACAATCACTTCCCTGCTCCTGCTGGCCACACTATTCCTGATACAGGCCAGGATGCTGTTGGCCTTCTTGGCCACCTGGGCACACTGCTGGCTCATATTCAGCCGGCTGTCAACCAGGTCCTCTTCTGCCAGGCAGCTTTCCAGCCACTCCTCCCCAAGCCCGTAGCGTTGCATGGGGTTCTTGTGACCCAAGTGCAGGACCCAGCACTTGGCCTTGTTGAACCTCAAACAATTGGCCTTGGCCCATCGATCCAGCCTGTCCAGATCCCTCTGTAGAGCCCTCCTACCCTCAAGCAGATCAACACTCCCACCCAACGTGGTGTCATCTGCAAACTTGCTGAGGATGCACTCAATCCCCTCATGCAAATCATTGATACAGATATTAAACAGAACTGGCCCCAATACTGAGCCCTGGGGAACACCAGTTGTGACCAGCCGCCAACTGGATTTAACCCCATTCACCACAACCCTCTGGGCTCGTCCATCCAGCCAGTTTTTCACCCAGCAAAGAGTACACTTGTCTTAAGTCATGAGACACCAGCTTCTCAAGGACTATGCCATGAGAGACAGTGTCAAAGGCCTTACTGAAGTCCAGGTAGACAACACCCAGAGCCTTCCCCTCATCTACTAGGCGGGTCACCTGGTCACAGAAGATCAGGTTGGTCAAGCAGGACCTGCCTTTCATGAACCCATGCTGACTGGGCCTGATCCCCTGCTTGTCCTGCACATGCCACGTGAGCACACTCAAGATGAACTGTTCCATAATCTTCCCTGGTACCGAGGTCAGGCTGACAGGCCTGTAGTTCCCCGGATCCTCCCTCCAGCCCTTCTTGTAAATGGACGTCACATTGGCAAGCCTCCAGTCATTTGGGACCTCCCCTGTTGACCAGGATTGCTGAGAAATGATGGAGAGTGGCTTGGCGAGCACCTCCGCCAGCTCCCTCAGTACTCTTGGATGGATCCCATCTGGTACCACGGACTTTTGAGTGTCCAGGTGGTGTAGACGGTCATTAACTTGCTTCCTCCTGTATTATGGGGTGTATATTCTGCTCTCCATCCCTGTCTTCCAGCTCAGGGGGCCGAGTACCCTGAGGGTAACTGATTTCACTACGAAAGACTGAGACAAAGAGGGCATTAAGTACCTCAGCCTTTTCCTCACCTTTGGTGGCAATGTTCCCCTCTGCATCCACTAAAGGATAGATATTCTCCTTGGCTCTCTTTTTATTGTTAACATATTTGTAAAAACATTTTTTGTTGTCTTTTACAATAGTGGCCAGATTGAGTTCTAGCTGAGCTTTTGCCTTTCTAATTTCCTCTCTGCATGACCTAACAAGATCCCTGTACTCCTCCCAAGTTGCCCACCCTTTCTTCCAGAGATGATAAGCTCTCCTTTTTTTCTTGACTCCTAGCAAAAGCTCCCTGTTCAGCTAAGCCAGTCATCTTCCTCAGCGGTTCGTCTTGCGGCACATGGGAATAGTCTGGTCCTGAGCCATTAAGATTTCCTTCTTAAAGGACGTCCATCCCTCCTGGACCCCTTTGCCCTTCAGGACTGTCTCCCAAGGGACTCTCTCAACTAGTGTCCTGAAAAGGCCAAAGTTAGCCCTCCGGAAGTCCATAGTGGTGGTTTTGCTGACCGCCTTCCTTGCCTTTGCCTCACCAAGAATCGAGAATTCTATCATTTCACGGTCGCTAAGCCCGAGGCGGCTTCCAACCATCACACCTCCCACCAGTCCTTCCCTGTTTGTAAACAGCAGATCTAGCAAGGCCCCTCCCCTGGTTGGCCCACCTACCAGCTGTGTCAGGAAGTTATCTTCCACACACTCCAGGAACCTCCTAGACTGTTTGCTCTCTGCTGTGTTGTATTTCCAGCAGATGTCCAGAAAGTTGAAGTCCCCCAAGAGAACAAGGGCACACGATTGTGAGACTACTGCCAGCTGCTTGTAGAATGATTCATCTGTCTCTTCAGCCTGGTTGGGCGGTCTATAACAGACTCCCAGCACAATATCTGCCTTGTTGGCCTTCCCTCTCATCCTTACCCATAAGCACTCAACCTTATCATCACAATCGTGGAGCTCTGTACAATCAAAATACTCCCTAACATAGAGAGCCACCCCACCACCTCTCCTTCCTTGCCCATCCCTTCTGAAGAGCTTATAGCCCTCCATTGCAGCACTCGAGTCGTGGGAGTCATCCCACCATATTTCTGTGACAGCGACCAAGTCATAGCTATCCTGCAGCACAATGGCTGTTTGGTAGCCATTGTTCTGCTCCTGTTTATTGCCCATGCCGCGTGCATTGGCGTAGATGCACTTGAGCTGGGCTATTGGATCCACCCCCAACATTGGCATGCTGCCCCCAGGCTTATCTCTGGTGAGCCTAGTTTTATCCCCTTCCCCCTTCAAACCTAGTTTAAAGCCCTCTCTGTGAGGCCCGCCATCTCATGAGCGAGAATCCTTTTCCCTCTTTGAGATAGCCGGATTCCATCTGTCGCCAGCAAGCCCGGTGCCGTATAAACTTCCCCATGAGCAAAAACCCCAAAATTCCATGGATGGCACCAGTCTCTGAGCCATGTATTAATCAGGTGTGTTTTCCTGTTCCTTTCAGTATATTTCTCTGACACTGAAGAGATTGAGGAAAACACTACCTGTGCTCCTGTTCTTTCCACTAATCGCCCCAGTGCCCTGAAGTCCCTTTTGATTGCCTTTGGATGTCTCCCTGCAATCTCATCACTGCCAACCTGCACAAGTAATAGCAGGTAATGATCAGAGGGCCTAACCAGACCAGGGAGTTTCCTAGTAATGTCTTTTACCCGGGCCCCAGGGAGGCAGCAGACTTCCCTGTGGGATGGGTCAGGTCTGCATATTGGGCCCTCCGTCCCCCTCAGAAGGGAATTGCTTACAACAATTACCCCCCTTTTTCTCTTAACAGAGGCTGTCAGAATGTATGGGGCTGACTGACTCAGCCTAGGCACCCCCCTGGATGGGCCTTCATCTACATCCTGATCTTCTGATCTGGGTCTGTGCTCCAGGGGAGCCCTACTGAATCCCTACTGTCTCCTGACTCAGCCTTGCCAAAAGACAACAGGCCTGCTGGGGAAAGCCTGGATTCAACGTGAATTTCTGACAATGCCATTTTTACCACTCCAGCAGTATTTTTAGAAAGCTGTGATAATAATAATAAACTACTAACATTTGTAAAGAATTTGAACACTGAAGCTGTAATGTAGTTAATATACAGGAAAGCATTTGAAGTACATGTAAGTAAATACCATCAGAGGTAACATAGTAAGCAATACAAAAATAAAAAGAAGCACTGATAATTTCCTCATACAGCAAGCTTCTGTTCTAAGCACCAACAGTGACAAGGATACTGGGGGAGCAGCTGCAGGGGAAGGAAAATTACATGATCCTGTAACTACTGAAGGCTGTCACATGGCATTCAGAGGGAGAAAAAAAATGAAGGTCACTCAACTGATTTTAATTGTTACTTCTTAGCTTCTCAATGTCTGGTTTGGCATCCTTAATATTGTCTTAATATAGCTTTTGTGAAATGTTGACAGGTAACTCATAATTGACCTGTTCTAGACTGCTGCTTGTTCACAGAGCAAGCGCTTCAACTTCACTCTGTGATACATTGAGGGAAAGTAAACAATTTTCACATCTTGAGAACAAGACCACAAAGACAACGCTCTACAGAAAGTAATACACAGAGGCTGAGATAAGCTATTAACCACGAAGATTTGATAGACGTAACATACATCACTCTGCAAATGGTGCTATGGTTTAGTTATGTTTTAATATGTACAGAAGTGGTATTTCAGTTATTGGAAAAAAGGAACACAATCATCAAATTCTCAACCACAAGAAAAAAAGGTGACAAGTTGGCAGAGGAGGTGTCAAAGAACACAAATGTTACTTCAAATATTTAGTTTTAAGGCACAGTGTAGCAAGTCTTAACAACATTTTACTTGTGTACTATTATACAAATAAAACTATGCTTAACAAAAGAGTGGAAAATTAAATCCTAGAATGTATTTGAACTGCCAGTAGAAGCTACATGGCTTTTACTTATGCAGTTACATACCACTTTGCTTTCTCCTCCCTCATTCTTCCTCCCATCCCCACATTTTTATTTTGTACAGAGACAGAGTTGCTACCCTTGATTTCAAAGGAGCAAACTTTAAGCTACTTTGGCAGCTCCTTAGCAGTGTTCCCCAGGAATCTGCTCTTGAGGGCTTAGGGGTCCATGAGTGCTGGTCAGCTTTTAAGAACCACCTTTAGAAGCATAGGAGCAGGCAATCCTGTGGTTTTTTAAGTCAAGCAAGAGGGGCAGACCAGCTTGGCTGAACAAGGAACTCCCTGTGGAGCTCAGAAGGAAAAAGAAATTGAATGATGTCTGGAACCAAGGTCAGGCTTTGTGGGAGGATTAGAGTCATGGTTCACAGGGAGAAGACACAAAAGGCCAAAGCTGAACTAGAGTTGAAAGTGGCCAGTGTTGTTCCAGATAACAGGAAGGGCTTTTTTAAGTATGTTAGTAGCAAGTGGAAATCCAAGGAAAACATTGGACCAATACTTGCTGAAGATGGTCACCTGACTAATAGGGATGAAGAAAAAGCAGAATCATTCAATGTGGGTTTTTTTTTGTTTGGTTGGTTTTTTTTTTTTGCCTCAGTCTTTAATAATACTGATAGACCTTGGGATGCCTGGTCCTCTGAGTCAGAGGACCCCAAGTGCAGGAACAGTGACTTACCATTTGTGGACACTGAAACTGTAAGCGGCCAGCTGTATCAGCTGAATGTTCTCAAGTCCATGCAGCCTGATGGGATTCACCCCAGAGCACTGAAGGAGCCAGCAGATGTTACAGTAGGACCCCTCTTGATCACCTACCAAAGGTCTGGGGAAGTCCCTGCTGACTGGAAAGGACTATTCCAATTTACAAAAAGGGTGTGAGGGAAGACCCAGGAGACTACAGACCTGTTAGTCTAACCTCAGTACCCGGAAAAATTACGGAGATCATACTGGGTGCTACTGAAAGACATTTAAAGAACAACATGATCATCACACACAGTCATCATAGGTTTACAAAGGCAAAGTCCTGTTTAATCAATTTAATATCCTTTTATGATAAGGTCACCTGCCTAGTGGATGAAGGGAAGGCAGTGGATGTAGTTTTGCTGGATTTTTTTAAGGCTTTTGATACTGTCCCTCACAGCATTCTTCTGGACAAATTGTCCAGCTGTGAGATGAGCAGGTACCTGGTGATCTGGGTGAAGAACTGGCTGAATGGCAGGGCTCGAAGGGTTGTAGTGAACAAGGCTACATCTGGGTGGTGACCGCTCATCAGCGGTGTTCCTCAGGGCTCAATTCTAGGGCCTGTTCTGTTCAGTACTTTCACCAATGATCTGGATGCAGGAGTTGAACACACCATTAGCAAATTTGCTGATGATACTAAACTGGGAGGTGCTGTTGACTCTCTCAAGGTATGAGACACCTTGCAGACGGATCTAGATAGATTGGAGTATTGGGCAGTGATTAACGGGATGAAATTTAACAAGTCCAAATGCTGGATTCTGCACCTGGGACAGAGTAACACTAGGCACAAGTTGGAAGGCTCTGCTCTTCCATCTAGAGATGATTTTTAACATGCTCCAGCTCTGAGACTACAAAGTACCTAGCAGAAAACAAGCTTTCCTCATGAAAAGACAACTTTCTTCACAAATTATAGCACCATATAAATCACCTTACCAGCCACCAAGAATGTCACCACCACCATGTCAAGATCTCTGATAGCACTGCAAGTTGGCCTTGATCACTTACAGGAATGAGTTTATACATACCATCAGCTCATTGTTTTCATCCTCGCTTTTAACAACTTTGCTTTCAGTGATCGAGTTAGTCAAGCACTATCTCCCTCTCTGATCTTTCACTCCATATCCTCAAGACAAACCTAAAGGACACCTTTCAGCAGGAGCTCAGAAGCTAAAAGTCATAACTCTACTGTCCTGGTTTCAGCTGGGATAGAGTTAACTGTCTTCCTAGTAGCTGGTACAGTGCTATGTTTTGAGTTCAGTATGGGAAGAATGTTGATAACACTGATGTTTTCAGTTGTTGCTCAGTAGTGTTTAGACTAAAGTCAAGGATTTTTCAGCTTCTCATGCCCAGCCAGGGCACAAGAAGTTGGCACAGGACACAGCCAGGGCACCTGACCCAAACTGGCCAATGGGGTATTCCATACCATGGGACGTCCCATCTAGTATAGGAACTGGGAAGGGGGGGGCGGGGAATCGCTGCTCGGGGACTGGCTGGGTGTCGGTCGGCGGGTGGTGAGCAATTGCCCTGCGCATCATTTGTACATTCCAATCCTTTTATTACTACTGTTGTCATTTTATTAGTGTTATCATTATTAGTTTCTTCTTTTCTGTTCTATTAACCCATTCTTCTCTCAACCCATGAGTTTTACTTCTTTTCCCGATTTTCTCCCCCATCCCTCTGGATGGGGGGGGAGTGAGTGAGCGGCTGCGTGGTGCTTAGTTGCTGGCTGGGGTTAAGCCATGACACTCTACTTAGAAACAAAAGCCAGTATTATAGCACACCTCCTCTCACCTCATTAACCTCTCCATGTTTCACAGAGAAATAATTATCTCCCTCTCTTTTTCTAAGGGATGACACCTTACTGCTCCTTCTACCACTTCCCTTACTCTCTACAGGCACCAGTCATCTTGTCTCTCAAGTGCTCTAATGGATATGTAGTAAAGTCAAATGTAAATTGTTCTCAGCTGTACTTATTTTTGAGGTTTGCTGGTTCTACTTTAAAGCCAAAGAAAGCCTGAAAGCTCATTGCCTTTCCCTAATTACACTGGTTATTTTCATGGTAGACTATCTCTGCCTGCAGATCTTGCCTAACCAATTTGAGTGGCCAAGGACCTTGCTCTTCAGGTCATTTAGCAATAGTACACAGAACCTTAGCACAAGTGACAGCAGCTGAAGATGCAGAAATGAGTGCTCAGCACTGCAATAGTTCAGACCAAAGGACCTCAAAACAGGCACGGAAAATGGATCAGCTTGTGATCACCCATGGAAAGTCTACTTTTAACACCTTGGTCAGACAAGTGCCTTTCTTCAGGTTTGTTATCTCCCTTGCATGCCCCTCCTCAATCAATCAAATGGTCTTCCTTGTCCAGCTCACAGCCCCTTTAGTCAGGCTGTCTATCTGACTTCTAATGATTTCTCCTCCAGCCAGCGCAGAGGCAGAGCCTTGGGACACCCCAGACTCATTTCACTCCAGCATCAATATTACAGACCATAGAGAACACTGCTGATTTTCAGTGTGATAACATCTAATCTTCATA